ACACACACACACACACACACACATACACACACACACATACACACACACACCTTATTTAGGGAATTGGCAATTCTCAATTGATAAAAAGTTAGTAACATATATTTGAAATAATCACCCTCCCTCTCACATCTTTAATTATATATCCCCATATCTTTGGAAAGTTTATGCCTCTGAATCATACTAAAACAGCGAGACTGAAGAGCAGAGAACATCCTTCACTGGGAGTGGTACAGACAGTGTGCTGGAATGGATATGTTAAGGTGGCAAACACAGGAAGAAGTTTCACAAGAGCATTTTGCTACAACTAGTGCGTGATGTCTGTGTTTCCCCAGACGGCTCACCATGTTCCCAATCACAAACACCCCTAGGGAGGGGAGCATGATAATGTCTTGTTTAAGATAAGGAATAATCATAAACATTTCAGAGCACATTGTAACTTAGTACTAAAATATTTATTTTTTTAGGACTGGAGAAGCTTGCACAAAAAGGGAAATCACTGTCTCCACTAGCAAGTATAACGGGAATATCAATATTTTTGATTATATCCATGTGTCTGCTCTTTCTGTGGAAAAAATATCAACCCTACAAAGGTAGGCTAAAAATCAGAAAAAAAAATTATAAATGTTCTAAAAAAGTACCTTACTATGATTTCCCCCCTCTTTCTTTTTAGCTATAAAACAGAAGCTAGAAGGCAGGTAAAGCATATGTTTCTATGAAAATAATTTTTTAAAAATAGCCCTCAATTATAATCCCTGATAAAAGTATCTGTCTTTTCAGGCCAGAAACAGAATACAGGAAAGCTCAAACATTTTCAGGTAATGGCCATACTGAAAAGGTGTATTATCAATAGTAATACATATTAATTGTTATTCACTGATTATATTAATAGATTTTAGTATCAATGTAGCAGAATCAATGCAGCTGATGTTCATACACTCACCATCCCTTATATTTTGACAAAGTTCTGTCCCTGTTGTGATTTGATATAAGTCACATAAGTCTATAATAAGCCACACAGGTCTGTAAGATGAACCAGGAAAGGACTCTCAACTCTATTTTATAGACAAGTCGATTAATGATCAGAGAGATGAAGTCACTGAGCTCTGCTGAATCCTTCTTTGCTATTAGTCTATAAGAGCTAAAGGGCCCTTTCCCTTTGACTATTCCTAGGAGAGATACAATGTTGGCAGTCCCACTGTAAGGAGGAAAGGGAGGTGTGACGGCCAGTACTGCTCCTTCGTCCCCAGCCTGCCCTCATTGCCTTTACTGTCAACTCTGCACTGGGTTTTAACAATGAGCCTTTGTCTCAGATGGTGACATCAGAGTTTTCAGTCCTGTATCTGCCTTGGGAATTTTTTTTTTTTTTGTCTTTTTGAGACAGGGTCTCCTTGTAGCCCCAGCTGTCCTGGAATTCACTATGTAGACCAGGCTGGCCTCGAACTCACAAAGATCCGCCTGCCTCTGCCTCCCAAGTGCTGGGATTAAAGGCCACCATGCCCGTCAGGAAAATTATTTTTTTTAATCTCAGCTTCCTCATCTATATAACAGAGATAAAAACTTCCTCCTAGGGATGCGATGAGAATTAAAACGATGTATGTGAAGAGTCTGATGTGATTCCCGTGCTTAATAAACATGGCTCTTCTTCCTCTCATCTAGTCCTTGCTCCCTTAGGGTCCCAGGACCATCTGGCTCCTCCCAAACCCCCTCTATCCTCTTCATTTTCCCAATAAAGTTTGGGTGGCATCCATATTGTTCTGTGCTGTGTTTTGTATGTTTGGGTAGCTCTAGTTACTGCTCAGTCCTGGTGGTCTCTTTAGATCCAGTGAGGTGTAGTAAATATGATGGGTGGAAAGGTTGCTATGACATCCAGGCTGAAGACTTTGTGTTCATGAGTCCCTGTCCTAGTTTGTTTCTTCATTGCTGTGACAAAATACTCTGACCAATACCCTTGAGGAAAGGGTTTATTTGACTTACATCTCCTGGATCACAGTTCGTCACTGAGGGAGCCCAAGCTTGGAAATCAAGGCAAGAACCTGGAGGCAGGAGCTGAAGCACAGGCCATAGAGGAATGCTGCTTACTGGCTTGCTCCTCTGGCCGGTGATCAGCCTGCTTTCTTATACAATACACGACTACCTGCCCAGGGGCAGCACCTGCCCAGGGGTGGCACCACCCACAGTGGGCTGGGCCCTCCCACATCACTCAACAATCAAGAAGATGCCCCACAGACATGGCCACAGGCCAGTCCTATGGAGACAATTCCCCAGTTGAGGCTCCTTCAACCCAGGTGTGTCAAGTTGACACTAAAGCTATCCAGCACAGTCTCTGATCCCATCTATATATGTATATTTAAGTATGCAACACAATGTTCCCACATCAGACCTTAAGAATAGTTGGTCAAGTTCATTTTCACTTTTCATCTTGAGGATTTATTCCCAACAGGAATAAGAATCAGGAAATATTAAATGGTTTTGTGTATATACCTCTTAAAACAGACAAATAGGTTCTTCAAAGATTTTTAAGAAACAAAAATGCATAAAATTTTTTACTATCAAATGAAATCATTCCTTTTGTAAGTAGTATTGTTCTCCATTTCAGGCCATGAAGATGCCCTGGATGACTTTGGAATATATGAATTTGTGGCTTTTCCAGATGCTTCTGGTGTTCCCAGGGTTGGTTTTTTTCCTAGTGGCTGATTAACCATGAAGTAGAATTCTGCTTTCCCAGAGGTGTAGGCACATGGGCAGTGAGGTCTATTGCCCCGCCCCTCACTGCATTCTGCAGTGCTGCCTCACTGCATACTGAGTCCTCTAGATTTGGGGATGTAGGACATTCTTCTCATTTTTCTTCTCTTATAGAGATATGTAAAGCTAACATAAATAAGGAAGTGCGCTAATTAATATACCTCTTTACCTGGAACATTCGATGAACAGAAAATTAAGTTGAAGATCAAAGGAACTGAATAAAGGATGAGGAGTCCCTGGTTTAAGTCACTCTGCAGTGCTTCAATCACAGCAGCCCTTCAGTTTACTGAACTCGCTCTGTTCCTCCATTTCCTTCTTTTCCTCCTCATAACTCTCAGCTACTCAGACATAGCTGATCACATCCTTGACGCCACCTCATTTTCTTCATGAGAAAATGATCACATAATAAATCCCTAAACTATATAAGAATGCATATTTATCATTGGCCTAGAGATGTATTCATAAAAAGAGGTAGGGGCTTTTATAAATTGAAACCACTTTTTCAGTCTGTAAAAAGCACATCTTTTATAAGTTTTATTTAACTTACATATAGAATATGCCCCTGAATATCAACAGATATGTAAAGGACCAGTTTTCCCTCTGCCTCCTTGCTCCCCTATGAGAGTCTGCTTATGGACAGGACTATACATGGATTACTTGTTTCTGAATGTTCTTAATTGCATTTTTAAAAGAACAATTAGCTGTTAGGAAATGCTAACTTCCTTTGTTCTAAGAACTCTATCACTTCATGCAGTAAGATTCCTGGCTACAGACTTTATTTCAGAAATGCCCTGTCATTATTGAATGGAGATTGGATTTCATCCTCCCTAAGGGTGAGTCAGTACCAGCACCCATCTGACTACAGATGAAGAAGAAACATGCCCAACAAAGAATTCATGGTGCCCTATTTAATCTCAGACAGGATTGCCACACGCTTCACTTCCACAACTAAAAAAACAAAATAAATATTTGTTGGAGAAGTTATCTAAAACAAGATTTCACAGGGGCATAACGCACCCCTTGAAAGTATGTCTTCAAACACTAGAACAACATGGAGAACTGAGGATTTCAAAACATAAGTTTCTTTATTTAAAATAATACACACATTTTATTCCTAGGAATTTACTGTAAAGGAGATTTACATAAGAAACTTTCAGCTTAGACTGGTAATTAAGCAGTACCCAAATTGGAGTACTAACTGGGAAGGTTTCTATTGGCTCCAAGTCCTCAGTAACTTGAGGCAGATAAATGTGTCTCAGTTGTGTCTCAGTAGTCCCACTTATTTCTGTAATAAACAGAATAACTTGACTTGGAACCATGCCCATTTTCAAAGGTGAAAATTTCTGAGGATTTTGATGACATTCTTAATTGGCCATATCAGGTGCTTTGGGGGGAAAGTGAGAAATCAAAACCAATAACTGGAGGAGAAAGAGGACAGTGAGATGAAGAGGGGCACTGAGTGAGAAGCCAGAATGGCATTCCCTTAGGAAGACAAGCAGTCCAATGCAATGAACCTAAGAAGAAAAACTCTACAAAATTGTCCTTAAGAAGGGAAGTAAATTGAAAAAAAAAGGGGGAAGTAAACTGAATTCCTAATTTACTAATTAGTAATTAAAAATAAAAATAAACTGTTTATTGTAGTATGTGTAAAAATGGATTGTTTCTCCCTTTTCCTCTTGTACATTTCACTGCCCAGTTAGTGCCTCTATCAGGACTTAGACATAACACAATCTCATGAAATGAACAAAATTTGTTATTTAATTATTATATTATATACATTAGCAAACACCTATACATTGATTTGACCATAGCCCTGACCATCTTCATGCCAAAAAATAGTCAATATCAATTATAAATTATATCAAAATTTGAACACAAAATGACCATAGAATCATTATACTGCTGGGTGCACACCTTTAGTCTGTGAGTTCAAGGCCAGCCGGTCTACATAATGAGTTCCAGGTCAGCTCAAATGACCACAAAAAAAATCATTATACAAATTGGTAATCCCTTAAGAATTTAGTAAGAGGAATGAAAATAGGCAGTTTCCAGAACCCGTAACACTAAGACATTCCAGTACAACCTGGTAGGCCAAATTGGAAGGAGAAAACATGCCTCTGTCTTACCCAAGGCAAACAGTCCTCTAGGAGTCCTGAGTAAATATGGAGGCCTGAAAGAAGGCACGAAGGGCAGTGGAAATAGGAAGTGAGCCGGTGGCTGACTTAATAAATTGGAAGACAATGCTTATAGGAAGCAGGAAATTATGAAACACAAGGAATGTGAATAAAACACATAAAATGCCAGTTTCCAAAAAAGTACATGATTTTTGCCAGATAAATATACGATGTTCTTTCCATGTTCATCCAGGCCTTTAGTTTTCAGAGTCCAGTATGGTATTAAAATCCAAACATTACTCTTTGTCTTTCTGTCTTTCTGTCTTTCTTGGTCTGCGTTCACTTGCAATGTGATAAGGACTCTGGCTGTACATTATTCTTTCTGTTAAACCACCTTTGCACATATAATTGGCAAATGGTGTCAAAATGGCAATTAAGAGATAATATAAAAGTTATATGTGCTTTTTGGTTCTAAGCTCTTTTGATAGCTCCCTTTTTAACTATTTTTCCTTCTATTATATTTCCTGTACAACATTGTCAGCTGTCTTATTAAAATGATGGGAAAAGTGGTAGGTTTGTCAAGTTATTCTTTGCTGGCCTTATAGTTATGCTGCTAAAAAGACTATATAAAAGACTATATAAAAGACTACTATAAAGTGCAGGAAACTGTAGCAAGGAGGAAGTACAAATTCCAGGGACAATAAACAGTTCAGTTCTCTAATCCCCACACTGCCCATTGATTTCAGATACACAGCATAGTGGAAGTACTGTTAACTATTAACTAATCTCAGGCTGGGTTTTGCTGGGTTTTTTTTTTTTTTACTGTTCTACATTTTTGATGTTCTACATTTTCTAGATGCCTAGCAGGCCTACTCCAGCCTCTGATGGTATAACAGGGCAAGATTTACACAGTACAATTTATGAAGTCATTCAGCACATCCCTGCTCAACAGCAAGACAATCCAAAGTAAGTATGAATCTGCATTTGGTGATACAAAGGAGCTTAGCAGTTAGCTTCTGCTTTCCTAGAGATTTATTGAAGACACTGAAACAGAAAATATAGGTTCAAATTATTTGAAAATTTTCAGGATATATCCATGTTTGAAAATAACTTTGAAAAATTAAACAGGCAAAATAGAAATGTCATCTAGAACCATGTACTTGAGCAGGTAGACAGGAAGTGGACCTCTGAATCAACTGTCCATTATGTCCATTTCTCCTTCTCAGTGTTTCTCCAAGGAATCCACATCTGTGTATGAAAGTCAAATCTGGCCAGTTCTCAAACCATCTTATGATTTTAGAGCCATAGTGATCTATCACTAAAAGATGAGACCGGGCGAAAGTCTTCTGGGGTTGCCTGGTACAGTCAACATTAAAGGCCAAGCATGTTAGCATTCAAGAAAACTATTTTCATGTGCATAGAACTACCATCAGAACGGGTCTCTCAGAGGACAAAGCATCCGTCGAGGCCGAAGCCAGCAAACCACTTACCTAGTTAAGCTCAAGGCTGTCACTTAAGAGATCTGTCTTTTCTTTGCCTTAGAGAAACTAAGCCCACAGTCTTTTTAAAAGACTGAAATCAATTTCTGTTTGTGTGTATAGCTTCCTGCAGGCCTAACTGCCACAAATCATTTCCCATCCATTCTTTGTCATTTATTGACTTTGAAAAGAACATCAATAACCACACACAGGAACTTCCCCTCTGGCCAAAGGAACAGTTCCAACAAAGTAATTCATACACACTTCTGGGAAAATACCAAAAATTAACAGCTAAGAGTCTATGAATGTGTGGGAAATTATCTGATGGGGAAGGAATCCATGCCACATATGGGACCTATGCGATCATTTTAAGGCTAACTGACAAGACACTCCAGTGGACTCCCATTAAAGAAAATCGCATGTAGCAAGATAAATTAAAAGCAGTTTATTATGGAGCTAAGAACTTCTAATTTAAAAAAGATACTTGGTTTGAAGCCATATATTAGTAGCAGAACATTACAAGAATGACACTCTATACCAGGATACTTTAAAAATAAAAACACTAAAATGACGTCTGGCTCCTTTACTTTCTAGAATAGGAAGTTAGGGGGTGGTTTCTTTTGTTTAGTTTCCTTTTTTCTTCTCTTTCTTATTTTGATTGACACCTAATAATTGTGCACATTTATGGGGTACAATGTAATGTTTTGAGTCATATATGTTGTATAATAAGCAAATCAGGTTAATTAGCATATCACCAGAATTTTTGAACTATGTCTGCTTTCTAAGATTGAATTCTGTTAAAAAAAAATTATTCTGGGGTTGAAGAAATGACCCAGTGTGTAAAAAAAAAGCATAAGGACTTGAATTCATTTCCCCATAACCCATGTAAAAAGCCTGACAAAGCAGCAAACACCTATAACCCAATGCTGAGAAACAGAGATGGGAGGGTACCAGGGGCTTGTGGGCTAGTCAGCCTAGCCAACAGCAAGTTCCAGGGTCAGTGAGAGACCCTATCTCAAAAAATAAAGTGGAGGGAATTGAGGAAGACATCTGAGGCCAACCTCTGGCCTCCACATGCACACACATCTCCACATAGAAATATACACACATGCATACACCATAACCATGCATATGCACACACCAAATTTTTAAAAATTAAAATAATGTATAAATCTATCCTATTAAAATTCACTTTTTTCTACATATCCTAAGTTGTAAATATTTACTTTTCTTGTAAATATGGCACTCCAACTTCAGAATTCAAAATAAATTGATTCCATTGATTTTACATGTCAAAAAGAATGATTCCTTGAAAATATTTTTAAAAATTATACTATCTAACTAGATGCCTTTGTGACAAAATCAAAATACTCAAAATTCTTGAGCCCATAAAAGTTTATTTCAGAAACAAATTTTGAAAGTTGAAAACAAAGCAGAAATACTTTTTCAAGCAAAGAGCTATTTTTAAAATCTCTGCTGAGGATGTGCTCCTTGGATAGGCAATCACCCCCAAGAACATCAGTTCTTGCTCCCACTTGAACCCTAATGAGCACTGTTTCCCCCCAGGATCCTCCCCACCCCCAAGCCTAGCCTCTCATGGCCCTCTTCTCACCTGCTCCTGTCTTCTGAGGTTCGTTCATTTGTCTCATTTCTCTGTGTGTCTTCCAGTGGCTTTCCCTCCCCTTTATCTTCGACTTTGGACGAGTTTGCTCTTCTCTCTTTCTCTGTTGGCCTTCAAGACTATCTCCCCCATCTCTAGACTCCCTTTAAAAAATAAACTAAAATAAATGACATCTCTCCAAGACTAGATAACAAATAATCTCTTTTAAATTTTTCCTCCTCAGTCTTCCAACTCATACAACTTGGAAGCCAACATTTCAAAAAATATTTTCTTTTAACACAGGCATAACTTAAGATGTTATCTATTCAAGATGTTTTGGGTTTTCCCATCATAAATTTGCTTAGTCTTATTTACAATAAATCTGAAAATATTTCCAGAAGATTTGCTGTGTGTCAACAAGAAGAATTAAATCACACTCAGTCTTTTAAGGACTTCATAATTTTGTAGACTCATTATTGCTTATTTTAACAAAAGACTAATGAGCTTTCATAAAATAAATATTCCTCTGTGGAATAAATGTTGCCTATAGATACAGAGATTATTTTTCTCTCCTCTCTCTTGGTTGCCTGTGTTTTTTCTTGATCCAGTTAAATTTGAAGATCCATTTCATGAATAATATAATAGTACAGGTGGCTAGTGACTGTCTCCCATACCCCATTCCCAAAGTGAAGGAGCTAACTCTGGGGAAGGAATTCTGACTTCCTGTTTTCTCTTACCTCTTTTGAGAGTCTCTTCTGAGGTAGGAAAGATGGGTTAGCAGTTTCATTCTTTGATTCTTATACTGTTTTCTTGAGTGTATGTGACTATTAGCAAATGGACTCATATTTAATAAACTGGTAAATTAGTCTGTGATCATATCCTAGTACTCAGTTCAATGATGTATCTATAGAACATAGAGTTGCATTTATTGAAATGCTGTCTGTTGACACCTTTAAATGTTCTTGGTTCAGTTTATTTTGAACTCAAGGCTGATTATTAGTATCTTGAAAACAGAACCTTTAACTAAGTAAACCTTGAATAATTATCTACCAAAAATAATTATCTACCAAATTTAGTGATTATTTACCCTCTATACTAGGATTTATAAATATAGTTTTCTTGAATTGATTCAAAATACTCATATTCGTTGAAGCCATGGAAAGGAGTCAAATGGTAAAAATTCTGGAAATCTGCAGAACAGATCATGTATTTCATGTGTCTCTTCATCAGGTGAGATTTCATGGACAAAATATTGCATTGGAGTGAAATAACGAAGGAATTCTTTGAGGAATAGCATCTGGAATCTCTGAAGAAATCAAGTACCAACAGCATTTATTCATTTCTTCTAAAGGTGGAATAGCAGTATTTGTGCAAACTGAACTGCAGGTGTTCTGTCCTACACACAACGTGCTGCGACAGGGGACACAGCAGGGAAATATTCCTCGATGGACATTGTTTATCATGCTGACTGGGAGGAAGAAAGGATGAAGCTTCCGCACCACTCTTTGTACATAGAGTGTTCAAGAAGCCCAGTATGTGCTTACCCATCCTTGCACTTTCATCAACACTGACACTACCCCCTCATCTTCAAATATAGAAGCTGGACCTTTGTAAATAGTTTCAGTGAGCTTTGTTCTGTTAAATTCTCCTTACTGCTAAGATAGCTAAACATCTTTTTTTCTTTTTCTGTCCAAAATTGATTTTGTGTTATTTGTGCCACAAACTTTAAGGATGCTTGACACAAAAGTAAGACTGTGCCTTTTCCCTGGCAATCAATTTGGTTGTCAATGCTGTTTTTGAAGACTGGCAAAATGTTTAAAGAAAGGACTTACTAAAGTCTTATTTATGTTCAAAGAAAAAAATTCAAATACATTATACATTTTTGCTTTTGTGTAGCCTTAATTCTTTGTGTTGTAAAGTAAAATTATTACTTTAAAGTTAAATTGGAGAGTTAGATTTTTATTCTTATTTTCCATTGTGTAATAAAGTAGGGTTATACAGAACTATTAAAATAAGACCTCAGTCTCCCATGATTGGTTATTTTATGCAGAAGAGGAAAAACTTTTAAATAGAATTTATTTTTAAACTATTTCAAGAAAACTACTATACTCATCCTGCCCATATTTTCATGGAAGTGTATGGTACAAAGAAAATTAGAACTAAGTAGAACTAAGACTCACAACTGCTTTCTGTCATCTAGCTCTGCCACACTTGTATGTCTTTCTGATGAAAAAGTTGATCCTTTCTTCCACAGATATTTTCTTCTGTGTTTACTAAAAAACATAAACTACTGTATCTGGTTAGAAATACATGGTCATCATAAACATAAGCATACATTTGGAAATACAGAACACCTGCTCTAACACTGTTTAAAATCCCTGCAGTCTTACCTCTCAGAAACAGCCTATTAGCACTGCCTGCATTGTTTAAATATGTATTCAGACCCCCTTCTAGTTCCAGAAAAGGGTTTTAGTGGCTCGTATAAATGTGTACTATAATGATCAAATATAACCCCCAAAACTATTAAGAAAAACAGACAAAGAAAAGAGAAGTGGGGCTGGGAAGCGGTTAAGAGCACCTGCTGCTCTTGCAGAGGACATGGGTTCGATTCCCAGCATCCATATGACAGCTAACAACTGTCTGTAACTCCAGTTCCATGGGATCTGACACCATATTCTGACCTCCTCCAGCACTTCACAACACGGGTGCACTTACATACATACAGGCAATACACTTATACACATAAAATAACAATAATTAAATGTTTTTAAAGGAATGAGAAGCAGAGTAAAAGCAGAAATTTGGATAATAAACGGAGTGATGAATTCCCCCTTTTCTGTATTATTTTATATTACCAAGATGATGAGACATGATTCTAAGGAGGGCCATCTC